CAAATTTGAAAACATATAAGTGGTACAACTGACCTCCAAATATTTGATGCTTCAGTGCATATGGCAGGCAAAGAATTCATCAACTTTATACTATACGGTTACCATACAATCTGCATTTTCAAAGTAGTGCAAAATAGTAAATTAGTTGTGAATATTAAATAACGCATCGTGTAGAAATGTCAATGCTACCGCTCCCCAACTGTTCTCTCCTGTGATAGTAAAATCCTCAAGCAATGGAAGGTACTTAACTGGGACCCTACTAAAGGAATGATCAGCCAACATGAAACCACCTATTAACCTCAGAATATAAGCTCTAGCAAAGCGAGTAAGCTGAAGTTCATTATGATTATGCATTGCAACATGAGTAAAGTGTTGGTCCAACCAACTCAACTTCAAACTGCTCCCTGCAAATGCATCATCAGGTGGCCTAATACCAAGCAAGTTCTCCACAATTTGTGCCTTATTACCTCTAACAGCTACAATGACTGTCTTTCCATCTATACGAAGCCCTATTTGAATAGCAATGTCCTGAAGAGTTATAGTACACTCTTCAGGAGGCATGTGGAAGGTATGAGTCTCTGGCTTCTATCTTTCTACCAAGACTGTAATAAGATGTCGGTCAATAGGAAAGCATGCCAACTGAGCTACCCCAGCAAATCCAGCTAAGGTAAGACGAGGAAGAATCTCCATTAGAACCCCTTCCATGCCAGCCGTTATGAAATGACTCCTTCTCACCTTCAGAATTGAGTGCTCACGTTCATCCCAAATATGCTCCGATACGTGAACAGACTGATACCTCAATAATGAACTATCCTCCCACCCAAAATTTAAAACTCTACTCCGCGATGAAGATAATGCCATCTGAAATGAAATTTGTCAACTTAAACTTAAATTATGTACGTTAAAATTAATAATATAAAAATTCTATTCAATTAGTACATGGGTTTTATTACAATTATTTAACTCTAACAGTTTCAAAATTTAAAATTAACTCTAAAATTTATTTTATTTAATTATTATATTGTTAATTTTTCTTAACATTTTAAAAACTTTTAAATTTTATTTTACAATTATAATTTATAGCAATAAATATAATTACATGCACTCTTTTAAATATTATATATAATTTCTTATTTACTTTGAATTATAAACAAAGCATACTTTCATGTACTAAGTTTATTTTGTATATCAAATTTTACAATTACAACAAAACAAATACATAATTTTAAATATTATATATAATTTTTAATATACTTTTTTTTCTATAATTCAACCACAAAATCATTATTTTCTTAATTTCATTAAAGTGTTCCCTCACAATACTTAAAGTTTACTCCTATTTAAAGTTTAATTTCATTATTATATTAAGTATTGAAAATTTTAAACGGTTCAATAATTATGATGGATTTATATATTAAAAAAAATATTGTTTCTAAAATTTTGTACAAGTTTTTATGTTAAGGGTTGGCAAAAAAAATATATTTAAAAATGTTTTATTTCTTGGATTATAAGGAATACTAGTTTTGAAAATAGTTCCCACAAATTATCAAGTAATATATAGTATTTTTTTCTCTTAATTTATCAATTAATTAAAATAGGAATTTTTTTATATAATAATTAATACATATTATGGATTTCTATAATTTTTATTTATTACATTTTTAAACAATTAATTATAAATAATAACACATATATTATATAATTTGTAATAATAAAACTTCTGTTATGTTAATTTTCATAAAATTATTATTATCTTGATTTATTATAATTATTCAATAATTATCTTGTTTCTTAATAATTATATTGTATTTACTATATCTAATATTTTTATTTTCACTAATTTTTTTATATATCAATCTACTATCAAATAATTAAAATATATTATTTCTTCTACATTAATTATTTAATATTTTCACTGCATTTTATATATATTTTTTCATGTTCATGTTTTTAATTTTTTTCAAAACTATATATTAATACATAGTATTCTTTCCTCTTAATTTATCAAGTTATTATCTGCAGAATTTTTTTAATTTAATAATTAATACATATTATGGATGACTATAATTTTTATTTATTACATTTTTGAACAAATGATTATAAATAATAACACATATATTATATAATTTTTAATTTCATTCATATCTAAAATATTTTTTGTTTAAAAATAAAAATGCATTTTAAAATTAATTTTATACCTTATTTATAAAATCCTTTCAACTAAATCAGATAAATTATAAAATTTGTAAACGATAATAATGTATTATTTTTTACCAAATTAAATACTACATTCTTACTAATAATAAAACTTATGTTATGTTAATTTTCATAAAATCATTATTATCTTGATTTATTATAATTATTCAATAATTATCTTGTTTCTTAATAATTATATTGTATTTATTATATCTAATAATTTTTATTTCATTAATGTTTTTATATATCAATTTACTATCAAATAATTAAAATTTATTATTTCTTCTACATTAATTATTTAATATTTTCACTGCATTCTATATATATTTTTTCATGTTCATGTTTTTTATTTTTTTTTTCTAAACAATATATTTATATATATTATTCTTTCTTCTTAATTTATCAAGTTATTAAAATAAAATTTTATTTTAAATTTTATAATTAATACATTTTATGGATTACTATAATTTTTATTTATTACATTTTTGAACAACTAATTATAAATAATAACATATATATTATATATTTTTTAATACAATTTATCTAAAATATTATTTGTTACATAATAAATAAATTAATTTATAAAATATTTAAAAATTAAAATTAATTTGTGCACCTCTGCAACTTTGATTTGAATTTGAAAGAACCCTCTTCTTCACCAGCACCACTCACTTATGAGCATTCACCCACAATTTCATCTGCATCACAGATTCAATATTACATATATGTAATTTTATTTTTAAAAAGTAAAATATATTCAAAATATTAGTCTCATTACCTTTTAATAATTTTTTGCTAAAAAACCTTAATACCAGAACCTAACAAAATGCTAAGAAACGCTATTGCTGTATTTTTTCCAGCAACCACATAGCCTCTACATGCGAAACGGAGAAGATGAAGGAGAAAGGGAAGAAAGGAGAAGCCTGCGCCCAAACGGTCAAAACACTCTGCCACGTGGACCAATAAAAAGAGTGTTGTCCTTGACCTAGATGACTGTCCTGAATCGTCCCTGACCTCACCGACACTGACATCGGCTTTGACTCAAACGACTTTGTAGAATTTCTACACGTGGCTTCATTCATCCCTAGTCGTCCATTCCATTTTAATAATTTTTATTTTTTTTCTTTTTTTTTAACGTGTCCCACAAAGACTAGTGTCGTCTAGTAATTGGACGTTTTTACTTTTTGGAGTCGTCCCTGTGGTGGACAACTTCACTGCTACGTGGCCAACGAACCCTGGACAGGGAATTTGTTTGCATGCATGCCTAATTTAGTATTTTGTTTTCAAATTAACTCGGGAAAAAAAATCGATGAAAGTAGAAGTACCTTTTTTTTTGTGACATTTAGGCCCTAAACTCTGAATAATCTGTACCAAATTACATGGAGAATAATCATTATTATTAATATTATATTAAATATATATAATAGATAAGTAGAGGATTAGTGGTCCATCATAAAAAATATAAATATTTTTTAATTTTTAAAATATTAAAATAATTTATGAATTAAAAAATGATATGAAATGTCATTTCAAGTTAATGTGCAGTGTAATAAGCACTTATTCTTTCTTTTGTGCAAAAAGTAAGTGTGTTAATTTGATTCAATTTGGTCTATATGGGCTGTCTTATAGTTAGCAGTTTTTCTAGTTGGGCTGCGATGACCCAAGTAAGTAATGGACTAAAATTTTACCAACTTAACCCAACCCACTGCAGCACGTGGATTAAATCGACTGGCTTTTGGACTTTCGCTCTCTCTTTAATTTTTTTATAACCATATTAATTTTTTTTTTTTCATTCAGTTTAACGTGGATTTAACTTCTAGTAAGTGAGTTTATTATTAAAAAATTTTTATATACTCAAATTTAAATTTAAAATTTTACTTAAATGATACTAAGTCGTTTATTACTCGAATGAACCTTTATTATAACTATATTATTAATTTAATAATTATATAGTATTTATGTAAAATTATCAATTTATTATTATATCAATACATTGTAATACTTTCATATTAGCAATAGCATCTTATGTATTAGTATTTGATATTTAATATATTTATCTTATTCAGCTTATGATAAAAATTAATTGAGAGGTATTAGGCAATTTTTAACTTGGATTTAGCTGGGCAAAATAAAATTGAGTTGCACTCAAAATGTGTTCTTTAGAATCTTCACTGATGGGGTGGCGTTGTTTTCTAACCTTTTAGACCGTGGAATTGCGCACATAGCATGGCTGCCAATGCTATTTGTGGTATAGAAAAGGAATTGTAGATAAGTTTAAAGGATTAATTAGTCATTTATGAAGAGCTTTTGATCATATGTAGCATCATAATTTATCACATGAAGACATTGTGTAGCATTTGCAGTATTTATGTCAGCATGGAGTCATGGTGGATTGTCATGTGATTTCCGAGTATGTTATTAAGATTATTGCTCTTGTGGGGACTATTGTTGGATATTTCCATGCAATTTCACTCTACCTAAAGATATATTATTCCCATTTACCAAATAATAATGTCTAACTAGAGCAAGAACATATGGGGACATATCATGTATGATTCATTTATATATATTTTACTAATACTTATTAATTTGGCTGTAAATATATATATACACACACACACATATGCAACGTTTGTCTTTCTCATGCAGAATGCCACGACATCATGTTGTTCTCATGCAAATGACACGTGTGCCTCCACACCATGCCACGATGCTGCATCTCCGTGCATCTATTCTTCATTCTACTTTCCATCGTAAGTCCCAACTAGCCCTTGTCTATGAAACTTCACTCCACTCCACTCCACTCCATCTCCATGGATGAAGACCAAAAAGATTGCTTTGTTTTGCCCACATCATCCCATTGGGTCACTAAATTACTAATCTTTCAAACTGATTTGATCTACAATAGCTTTGTTTCTGTCTTTTCCCCTATCTACTCTCTTTTCTCCGTGGCTTCAGAGTCTTACCACAGTGCTGAGGAGAGCAAAGACAATGTTGAATCAGCACACAGTGTTCCTTCTCAAATCACTCAGGTTAGCACACTCTTGTTGAAGAAACTGGGACTTTGCTTCCTAAGTGCGGCATATGTGTGCATGGTTCTGATTTTGGTTCTTATTCTGGCTACTGTGGTGGGTGTTGGTTTGGTTCGGTTGTGGGTGGAGGAACCTGTGTTTGTTAAGGAAAGTTTGCATTTTGATTACACTGAAGCTCACCCCACAGCTATGTTTCTGTTTGGTGGAGTTAGTACTGTTAAGGGTCACATCAAGAAAAAACATATAAGCGTTCCAGTTGGCCGCACATTTTGTGCTACTTTGGTCCTAGTGATGCCTGAATCTGACTTCAATAGGGACCTTGGTGTGTTTCAGGTATGTTTTTGTAACTAAAAGTGAAATTTAAATTCAAAGATTTCTGCATTTAATGTGCTTTTTGGATGTCCATTTCAATGAAAATTCGAATGAGGGGAGACTGCAGCTTTGTTCTTTGTAATGACTGCATTATGTATATGCTGTTGACTTGTAAAATTAACACTCTTGTATTATCTCTTGCATGTTAGAGTCCCTATAATTGACAAATTAAATAATACCTCAACCATATGATATTCGTTATGTTTCAATTGAAAGGGGTTAATTAGGTGATTTGAATTCTTTAATCAACCCTGCTTTTTTGCAATTTCTTACATAATTATTACTTGTCATTAATTGCTAGGTGCTGAATTCTGATAAATAGTCGTAGCCCTTCTGGTTAATGTTTTCAGAAGCATATCTTATGGTTCTGGACAAATATTAAGAAGATTATTGCATTCGGTTCACTTGGGATGGTTATACTTCGGTCCTTAACTATGCCACAACTTGCAATTTTCCTTTAATTGCTTTCCAGTTTAATATCAACTATATTTGAACCAATCTTCCATATAAGTTCAAATATATCATAAGGTGTTCTACCATTACTCAATCAGAATGAGTACTTCGCATTTTGTTTCAAATTGTGTCAACAAGGAGAATAGATGAAGAGAGGGAAAGAAAACACTTGATTGGTAGGAGTTGTACTTGATGAGTTAGGCCTAACATGGATAAACTTATCAATAATTACTTATAAGTATTGATAAATGAAAAAAAAAAAACAATAAAATGAATCAAACTTCTCTTACAACTTAAAATCAACCTATACACCCCATTTTAGAAACTGTCATTTAATTTCTTCTAAAGTGGAATTTCAACTTTTTGGAGAAATTTGATTCAATTTTTCCTTCATGTTCTTTCTCCTCTAAGTACTTGTTCAAAATCTTATCGAAACTAGGCATTAATTAGAGTTGTTTTACAGTTGACTGCAGAACTCTTATCAGTAAATGGAAATGTGATAGCAAAATCTAGCCAACCATGCATGTTGCGGTTTAGAAGCTCTCCAATTCGACTAGCCCGAACGGTTATGATGGGTGTGCCTCTAGTACTTGGAATCTCAGGTGAAACTCAGAACCTTAATGTAGAAATATTGAGGCACAAAGAAGACAGTAGAAGAAGCAATGCTATAAGAGTAACATTGCATTCAAGATCAGGAACTTCATCTCTTCCACAACTATATAAAGCTGATATTGTGTTAAACTCCTATTTACCTTGGACTAAAGAGTTAGTTAGAAATTGGAAGTGGACATTTTATGTTTGGGTATCCTTGTATGTGTACATTGTGCTACTTATGTTTCTCCTATGTTGTTATAGGCCACTCATATTTCTTTTGACACCAAAGCCTTTCAGCGATCAAAGGGTGAGTAGTGAACGTGCAAGCGAAGAATTACAACAAGTGAGGGAATTAGAAGATGAAAGTGAGGTTTCTGAGTTGTTGAGGAAATGGAGAAGGAGCAGAATCAAGAGAAAAAGTATTTTGGCACATGGTGGTGTGCAAGAAACTATTGTTGGTTCATCGGCATCCAGCATTAGCATGACTACTAGAGAAGATGTAACTAGTGTGGCATTGGAAGATGATGTTGAGGATTCTGAATCAGTGTGCATAGGTTAGAGGGATGATTTTACTTAATTTGAAGAGGAATGATACACTGGTGTTGAGTGTGCTTTTTATATTATATGGTTGGTTAGAAGTATGTTAACTTTTGTAAGCTGAGAGTGCACATGTTTATTGTTATGGTATGAAGAAGTAACATCTTGCATTATCAATTTTGTTATTTAAACAACTTAAAATTGATATTATATGTAAAAGCATATATATATATATTAATCTATATCTTTCACATATTTTTTATCTTATACACACACACACACACACACACATATAATTATGACAACTTTAGGTGTCCCACAAAGTTGTAGATAAAACATTTCTGTGTTTATTATCTGTTGCACCTTGTAGCATAAGATTTGGAGAGAGAGAGAGTGTGTGTGTGTGTTGGGTGGGTGGGTGGGGGGGGGGGGGGGGGGGGGGTTAGATGGACCTGAAAATTGTTGAAGAGAGAAGTTAATTTGTTTTATGTTTGTTTAAGGAAATTTTAATTTTCAGTTTTTATCTAAATCTTAGGGAATATATGTGCTTAGTTGATAAGTTGATATTTCATTATGATTAAGAAGGGAGTTGTTAATTACTTGTTAACATAATTTAAGGGTTTTTGTTTTATTGAAAAAAGAAGGGGGGGGGGGGGGGGGAATAAAATGAAGGAAACAAAAAACATGTTTTAAAGCTTTTTCTATTTTTATTGAAAAATGGGAAGTGAAACAACTTGTTCCTTGTGGGCAAGGTCTGAGAAGGAATAAGGGAAGAGAAAATGGGATGAACAATAAATCATTATTAAGGATTGAATTAGTCACTCGTTGAATTTAGTCATGTTTATAATATTATTAACGTTTATTGTAAAGAAAACAATAATAATATTTTTACACTTATTTTTTTAATATGTATTTACATTTTTTTTTTGTTTTTTTTATCAATTAAATATTTATTTTCTTTTCAATTATATTTTTCTCTTCTTTTTTATTTTTATTTTTCGTATGTCAATTTCGCATCTTCTCAAGGAGTGTGGAATATCATTGATGTAAAAGAAATATTGTCATTGTTAATTGATATTTTAATAGTTAAAAAATATATTTAATTTTATAATTGATATTCATATACGAATTAATTGCCTGAAATACAAATTCTTTTATTTTAATTTTTATACAAGTATTTGGTGATACTTTAAAGTTTTCTATTTTAATATTTTTTTAAAATTACTCATGTGAAACGGGAACAATGCTTTAATGAATAGTATAGTATTTGTTAATTTAAGTAAAAACTAAACAAAAATGTAATGATTTAGATTTGGGAACAAAGAGTGAAATTTGAAATGATATTTCAAAAATAAATTTTAGTATTTAAAGAATTAAAATTTGAAAAACTACAACATAAATAAGTTAGAAAAAATATTTAAAATTAACCTAAAATTTTGAAATCTTTAAAAGTATACAAAAAATTGTTAAATAATGATAAAGTCATGTACCATATAATGAAAAACTCTCTTATACTTTAAATAAGATTTGAACTATAATTTTACTTTACTAATTCAATTTAAAATGTAATAATGTTGTAAATTATGTAACATTGCTATTATATAATTTTTAAAAAAAATTAAAGCCATACGCACTATTTAAAAAAGGTTACTGTGGAATTAAATTTTTCCTTGAAATTAATGTATAAGCTTAAATAAAATTTCATGTTTAAGTTTTATTAAAAAAAATTGTTCCTGAAAATAATAGTGAAGCACACTAATTCTAATCTTATAAATGAAAAATAGTATTAAGTAGTTCATGTACAAGTATATTTTAATTTTAATTAATTTTGAAAATCACTTACATCATAAAAGAATATTATTAATTTGAATAAATTGAAAACATAGATGATTTTAATGTAAAATTAAATGTGATTTTTCTTAAATAATATGGTTTCAAGAATAAAAAGTAAATGAAATTTGAAATCAATTAAAAGAAATATTTTATCTAAAAGTGTGTTTTGGGAATTAAATTTTGAGGAAGAGGAAGGAGGAAAAATATATTTTTCTAATTTAAAAACTTTTATAATGTTACAATAATAAAGAAAAATTAACTTAAATTTATAATAATCGATCAATTTATGAATTTTATTTTAAAAAATATATGAAACTTGATAATATTAATTGAAAATCTCAATCATATCTTTTAGTAATTAAAGTCAACATTTCAGAAAATTAAAATATTTTTTAATGTAAAAAGAGGAAATTTTAATATATATATATTATATATATATATATATATATATATATATAAAGAAACAGACAAAAGTAATTAAAGTTAATATTTGAGGAAAAACAAAAGAAAATTTAATATAAAATAAAAAATTAATAATTTAATTAGATGATATTTGAGATAAAAAAAAAGTAAATTATGGTATAAAAGGGAAAAAATCAAAAGTAATTAATTTTAAGATTTGAAATAAAGTAAATTTTAATGTAAAGTTAAAAAAATAGTAAATATAAAAAATAAATATGAAATAATGGTAAAAAATAAAATAATAAATATCACATTTAAGGATTAAATCAGATTTATAATATCAATTGTAGAAATAGATTTTGCGATGTTCAAAAAAATATTTTAGATTGTATATAAGATCATTGAAGTTTGCAATATGCTTTGGAAGCAGTTTTCCACTTGGAATTGTTCATATTTAAGTTTTGTGAATATTGTAATGAATGCTTTGGCACAAAATTTCATTCCTTAACAATTTTTGTTCCATACAGAAGTTACTTTTAAGCTATAAATTATTTTAGTTCATCTATATGAGGATAGATTTAAATTTGAATTAGATTATAAATTTGATTATGCTATTTTTATGATTTTAAAACATTTAGATTAAATATGTTTAAATTTATAAATTTGGTTATGCCATTTTTATGATTTTAAAACAGTTAGATTAAATATGTTTAAATAAATTTAAACATAAATTAGTTTTGACCATAAAATTAGTTACTATTAATATGATTTGATTTTATAAATTATAATGACTCATTTTACATTTAATAATAATATTTTTTATAATATTTGAGGGTATTTTTAATTTATGCTTATATATAATTTAATCGTAGCATCTAGAGATAATAACTGTCCTTTAAATTTATTGTATATTTTCACTGTATTTTTAGTTATAATTTTTTAAATTCAATTATTTTTATCACTTTTGGAAATTTAAATATGGTTGTTTTAAAATTATAAATACACTCATGTATTGTATAAATGATTTTTTATTCAGTTCATGAACTTTTAATGTTTAATTGAATTAGTGATTTTCCATTCTAATTATATAGGAAGTTTTATAATGAAAATTTAATATAGAAAGTATCATTAAATATTTTAAAATACCTTTTTAAAATAATGATTAATTAAAATGTGATTAATATTAGTCAATTCAATTTTAGTTATATAAAATATATAGACATAAAAGATTGATACATATTTACAGGGGATGAACATTCATTGGCATTTTTTAAATTGATTCCCTTTTTCATTTTCTTACTATATTTTTGAAAGAGAAAAGCTTTATTGGTTTCATTTAAGGTCCATCTGTTTTAAATTTCATTTTAAATTATTAAACATAATTAAGATGTATATCTAAATCTTAATCACAAATTTTACATTAAAACATGTACCACAATAGGAGAGAAACTAACAATCATTATCCACAATACAAGCTTTAACATAGCATTTAATATTAAATTAATTTATATATATATATATATATATATTAGTTATATTCATTATTCAATAATTTAAATTTAATTTTGGGTACTGCATTTTCTTCAGACGGTCAAAGTCAAAGAATAAGTAGCATATAGTTTTATATGGAAACTTCTTGCAAAAATCACACAGAAATAAAAGGAAAATGGGAGCCATGTGAAGATGTGACTCAAGTGACTTGTCACTGTGAGAGACAGCGAAGGAGATAAGACACAAAACACAACAACATAGAAACAAAATTGGTTAGCTCAAAACTATAATAAATAAAAGAAATTTGGTTAAGAATAAATAGAAGATATAATCTAATATAGGAATTGAGATCCGAAAATGGATGCTGATAGATTTGATGAACTGAAACTAAATGCCAAAAATCGTTGTGTTGTTTTTTGAGGGTGTCAACATGTGGCTCTCTGTTCATTGTGATTTTTCACATGTCATTTCTTCCGAAACAAGTGTTTGCATTATGCTACATTTCCTTGTACGTGTGCTAACTACTGCTATTACTTCCCTCATTCTCTCTCAAATTGACGTTTAAGAAACATCAGAATTATAATTTGGACTCGAGTAACAGTAAACATGACACCTTTGTTCCTACAACTATACTAAGAATAATACTATAATGCAACCTATGCAGTAATGTCACAGTTCCAATTTTTCTTGTACCAAAAGTGTAACACTTCAAAGTTCTTCTTTTCAATCTTGTTTTCTAATTAAAATTAGAAGTTCTGTTTTAATCATTAATATTCTTTTCTTTCCTTTTCTATTTATCACTTTAACTTTAAAGACAAATGAATTAATTAATAAATGAAATGAATGAACATAATAGGAAACTAAATGATAATTTTGTTAAAAACGAAAATATTAAATCTATTTTTAAATTTCTATGCAAAACTTTAAAGTGATGAATAAAAAAGGGAAAAGTTTTAAACTTTAATGTCGATATTTATTATGTGTGTTATTAATATGAACCCTGATTTTAATAGTAAAAGAGTACAGGTATAACGATATTGCAATTGAGTTAATTTTTTAAATTTATTATTTAACTTTTCTTTTACACAGAAACGACAAGAAGATTGAGGTTGTTATATATACTTGTGTATGGCCATAGGTGAGGTCCCATTTTTGATTTGTGTGTGTGTGTGTGTGTGTGTGGGGAAACAAAGATTGCATTGCATAACGAGCTTCAAATCTTCACTTTCATTGGTTTCAGCTCCACTCTTCTGGAGCTGAACCGAACCCCACCATTACATCATCATCATCATCCATTTCCATCTCCATCTCCAATTCTGATTCTTTCTTCTCTCCCTCTCTCAGTTGATTCAGCCTTGTTGAGCCACTATAAAATGGAATCAGACAACCTTAATAACAACAACAACATTGACAACATGAAAAACGACAATTGTGACGACAAAACCTTTGTTCCTGATTCAAAAGAAGGAAGCTTTCTAGGAAAAAGAAGCATTGCTGAGAGAAGGGGTTTCAATTCCAATGCTGCAAGAATCAACACAGCACTCTTTCGCACTTCAACTTCAACAACCCCTTCACTTTCCCCTGTAGCTCGATCACCTCGTCTCACTATTCCTGTTGGCATTAGCCCCACTGCGTTGCTTGATTCTCCCATCATGCTTCCAAATTCTCAGGTTTGTGTGTGCGTATATATATATATGATCATTGATCACCCTTTTGGTTCTGCTTTTGAAATTTTGGATACAAATTTGATTTTTTTTTAATGGGTTTTAGGCCATGCCTTCTCCCACCACTGGCACATTCTTCACGGTGCCACCTCCTAGTCATGAAGGATCAGTGATCACACTTGAACAAGGGAATGTGGATGTGCCCACTGTCTCTGATGCTGCTGCCTCCTTCAAATTCAAGCCTCGTGTCCATTTAGATCCTAATCCTTTTCCTCCTCCCTACTCTGATTCTCTAACTCAGGTACCCTTCTTTGTTAATAATAATGATTATCATAAATAATTTCTATTGGTTAAAATTTATCAAAAAATACAAAATTTACATAGATCCTAGTTGTAATTTAATGAGCCAATAACTAATAATCTGTTAAAATAATTGTGTTCTGGACACATCTCTAATTTTAACTAGATTGTTGATTCTTAATATTAATTACTACTCCGAAGAGTGCTAGGAATACATTATTTCTACTGAACTCTGTTATTAGCTTAAATTTATTCAAAATTACAAAAGTATGAATGAGACTCGTTAAATTAAAAATAGGACTCGCATTTTTTTTTGTGAATTTCAATAAAATTTCAACTTATAATAAAAAGTGCAATTGAAAGAGTATACTAGAGAATCCGTTCGTAGTCTTTCTTTTGCTACAACAATCAATAGTTTATTCGATGAGTGAATACCATTTTTTAAAAGTGGTTGATGGGAAGAATAGGGAGTAGTAGTTTGTGTCAATTAAACATTATACAGTTAAGTTGTGAAACATTTAAGTATGGTTGTGATGATGCTCAGTTTAAAATAACATCCAATTGGGCATCTGTCTAACTTCTACTGTTATTTCAGCCCATGAGCTATATTTTTCTCAGATATTATCCAACATGTGAAAGCTTTTCTAGTAGTTATATGTTCCTAACAATACAAGTGTAATTTGGTGACCCTGAATTTATTAGGTTTCTAGTAATTTCCACACAGTAAAGGGAGAAAATAGAGACAGCCAACTACCTGTTCAAGTTCAACCACCATTGAATTTTTCATTCCCAGCAGATTTTCCAAAAGGCCATTCTGCAAAAATTAATGAAGTCCATTCCTACAATGATATGAAAATGGTAAATGATGCTATTGTTAAGGCTAATACTGTTGAGATGCCACTGTTTGGCTCTGAGGAAGTTAGTGATGAAAGTGTTTTGCCTAAAAATGCTGTCCATGATGAGGAAATTAGTGGACAACCCTTTTCAGAAGGGGAACAGAAAGAGACATCCAACGCAACAGCAGCAGTAAGGACCTCAGAGGATGGTTACAATTGGAGGAAATATGGACAAAAACAGGTAAAAGGTAGTGAGTATCCCAGAAGCTACTACAAATGCACACAACCTGATTGTCCAGTCAAGAAAATGGTGGAAAGATCCCATGATGGCCAAATAACAGAAATTATTTACAGGGGTTATCATAACCATGCCAAACTGCACCCTGGTCGCCGAGCATCAACACTTTCTACTGATGAGATGTCAGACATGGGTGAAGACAGTACCTTTGCAAAAATTGATGGTGGGTTGGTTTGGAGAAACATTCAATCAGGAGTAAAACATGCAAAACACAATTTGCATGGGAAGGCTGATGGTCAAGAAAGGACATCATCAACTTCTGTTGCGACCGAGCTATCGGATCCTATATCAACTAACAAAGCTAAATCTCTAAATATGTTTGAATCAGAGGACACTCCCGAGCTTTCTTCTACACTTGCTAGTCATGATAATGAAGAAGATGGAGCCACTCAAACCCTCACATCAGTTGAAGAAGATGCTGAGGATGATGAATCAGAATTGAAAAGAAGGTCTTATACTCTATCTGGCTGTGCCTTCGTGTTGGCAGTGACAAATGGAAAGACAACTTTAATGTTTCTGCATTAATTTGCTATTGCAGGAAGAAAGATAGCTACTCAGTTGAACCAAAATTGCCTCCTAGAGCTGTTCGTGAGCCAAGAGTGGTAGTCCAAATTGAGAGTGATGTGGACATACTTGATGATGGTTATCGCTGGCGTAAGTATGGCCAGAAGGTTGTCAAAGGAAATCCAAATCCTAGGTAGTGATCGTGCCTTTCTTTCTGCCCTTGCAACTCTGTTTATAATTGTGTGCACTTGATTGTAATATATTTCTGATGCATCATTTCTATCCTCTTCACAGAAAATTTATAGTTTTGGGGTATTGTGGCCTCAAATGAAGTTACGAGTTTTCAACTATCTCTAGTGGTGGTCTAGGCCTCTTGGGTAGTGGGTGGCGATAGTATATTACAACAGTGAAGGATATTAGGTACTATGGCATTGGTAGCAGTGGAAGGTGTTAGGTGGTGATAGTAGTGGCAATGATAGAGGGTGCTATATAGTGGTGGTGATGCAGTGTGTAGGCCATGGCAACAATGATAGCCGAAGGCATTGAGTGTAATCATAATAATAATAATGGTGGGAAATGGTATAGAGTGATGATGGTGTGGGGTTTTGGGAGACTGCATTGGTGTTGGACGATGTCAGCGGCAACAATGGCGTGTGATGGGTGGTAATTTTTTTTATTTGGGGATATAGATACTACTTTTTTAAAAGTATTGTTTTTAATTTTTATAAAATTTTTTGTTAAGATATAATCATTTTTTTTTATAAGTTATTGTTTTTAGTCTATATATTTGATATGGTTTATTAAAATATTATAAAGTGTTAGCTTTGGTTGTAGCAAATCAGTTAGAAGAACTAAAAAATAATAATGATCAAACACGTAATTAAGTTATATTTATTAAAAATTATGTGAGTCTTGGTCTTTTTTCACTCTTTATTTAATTTTTTCTTATATTTTTATAATTTTTAATCAATTTTAACAAACAGTAAGAATGTAATCCTAACATTGCTCTCATTTTTAATACATGTCTCTCCAAATGAAAAGTTACACAAGTTTTGTAGGATAGGATAACTTAGAAGATAAGCTTATCTTATCTCTTCTGCTCACTAAATTATTGATTAGAGTAAGATACGACAACTTATTGGATCTTCTTGTTCATACCCTGTCCTATTCCTAAATGGGTTCTCAAGGGATATAAGACTCATTTGATAGACTGAATATAGAAAATGAAAACATATGAAAGTTCTAACATAATAGAATAATAATAATATAATATTTTATTTTATATTTGATGTATACAAAGAAACTTAAGAGAGTTACAAGATATATTAATCAATGATGCATAATTCTTGTTTCATAATGTTGAACGTTGATATTCTTCTATTCTTTTGTACTGCTCTTTTTGATAGGTAGGCAAGTTCCATTCTTTTTTGGGTCAACAGTTCCATTCTTATGTTGACAGTGCTCTTGTTTGATATTATTTATAGATACTTACATCAGTCTTTCATTTTGTTATGATCCATTTCATTCTCTATTTGAACTGGTTTCGTGATCTGAGAAATCCAATGGATTATTCTGCAGATTGTGTTGATTCATTCTCTATTTTTTTCACGTAACTCGAGATTTCCCTCATTAGGGATATGTTTGTGATTATTTATATTAAGCTGTTAAGATATATAGTTCATGCATTTCTCACTCGAGCTTATAAGGTGATATGCGTGTAACATTTTTCATGGAAATTTGTTAGGAGCTACTACAAATGCACGAGTGCTGGATGTACGGTAAGGAAACACGTGGAAAGGGCTTCACACAATCTAAAATATGTAATTACTACTTATGAGGGAAAGCATAATCATGAAGTGCCCACTGCTAGAACCAACAATCAGATGAACTCGAGTGATGGCGGTTTACCTCCGAATGGTGCTAATGGGCAAGTGGCTCTCACATTACCAGGAAGTGCTGGTATTCCAAAGCCTGAAACTCATCAAACTCTTGCACCTCATTTTGATAGAAAACCTGAATTTAGCAGCGATTTCTTAAGGCCTAGTTTGGTTGGAAGTTTCAGTAATGATATGAAGTTTGGGCCTTCTTCCATATGCCAAATGAAGTATCCTTCCTTGAATAATACCATGCCTTATGGCTCCTATGGACTGAACCCTGACCGTTGTGCTGCCCCTCAAGCTGGATCTATTGCCTCAATGTTCCCTGATTTTCCAATGCCACTACCATTGAATCTCCCCTCATCTGGAAACTTTTCTCTTTCTGGACTCAATTTTAACTGTGTAAAACCAATGAATCCTGTCCAGTCTTTTCTTTCCCCTCAGCAGGTAAAGGAGATTGATACAGGATTCCTAAGGCCTAAACAGGAACAAAAGGATGATACCATATATGGCACATGCTTACCCCCAATTGATCATGCAAACGCTTCACTCACTTATTCAGCAACTACACCATCCATTTATCAGCATGTCATGCAAAATTTCCCTTCCTAATCTAGTTTTAACAGCTATTAGTAACAGCAGATTCTGTTTGTTTTTGTTTAGTATTTGAAGGTATTTCGCCCTTTCAACATTATTTTATTTTATTTTTCTAATATTTGTTGAAAGAAAAAATGATAGTATTATGACCTTATACAAATTGCATAATACTTGTAACTAGTTCTTGGTAGGTAAATAATTTCTTTTACCCTGACTGTTGTTTCAATTTTTTATATATTGAGACAAACAATCCAATTCTTTTACATACCAATGTTTTAACTAGTTATTGGCAGGTAATCTTTTTAATTGGAAAATATGTTTTTGAGTTTTGTGGCGGTCCTTCACTTTCTTTGAATATGGCATGCTAACCATCAAGGCTTTTTTTTTTTTTTTTTTTTTCCAATTTCCCTCTTTCCAAGCTCACAGAACCTAGAGAGTATATGGATAGAACATAAGATAACAACAAATGTTAAAAACTGCAAGACATCATATGTTATAATACAGCATATAAAATTTTTATAAAACTAGAATTGAAGAGAGAATCAATGCTCTAAAACTAAAATTGAACATGAGTCATTGTGGCCATAATAAACTAAGCAACAATATATCCTGCTCAGCAACGAAAACAGAAGCAGTTTACGGTAATTAAACTAAACCAGCATGCAACTATGTGCAGGAAGTAAGACCCCAGCAACAAATGTCTTTGCAACCTTTCTCAAATGAAGAAACCAGGGAAATACTGAACTCGAGGCTTTGTTTGAAAGATTGAAGGGAGAGGAAAGGAAAATGTAATGGAAAATGTTTAAAAAGTATGGGTGGAGAAGGAAGAGAAGGAGGGTTAACACAAAACCTCTCAAATTTGGAAAGCTTAAAAATATGAGATTAAGAGAATTTTAGAGTTTATAAACCCTCCACTCTAAACTAAAAACTCTTATAGAAAGATAATCATCACATAAGTCTTCATTTTCCCTTACAAACTAACTCTCTCACAAAGCCTAATAAAACTCAAAAAACCAAAAGCCATCACCATAGTAAAATTTCAATCAATTTTTGCAGAAATATTGATATAGAGGTCATGATCGTACACCCACATTTAGAAAACTATATCTAATTCCAACCAAACAATAGCACTCATCATAATTTCAATCCATTGGCTTCAAACAGATCGATCAAGATAAACATCATGTAACCCTACCCAAATACAATTACCAATATCAAGGCCACAAAGGACAAAGGTTAACATAATAAGAAGGAAGATGAGCGTTGCCGTAGATTAGAAACCACCATCAAACAACGAAATAGAGATTGAAAACTTGCTAAGCTTCTTCTGAATCAAAGCAAACAGGACATATCTAATTAAGAAACTGAGCAAAAAAATGTTTGCACAAGTTAATTTATCCAGAATAGAGATTTATCTTATATTAAATGTTCATTGAAGGATTATTATTTATCTTACTGGTATTTAATTGAACCAAAACTGATTATCCTTCTGGACAAATATCTCAATCCTACCAAATGAACCAAAAGAACCACATCAACCATTCACATGAAACGAACCTCAAATCTAAATACAACATCAAAACATCACAGGAATTTTACCAAATTTTATTCCCATTGATTCATTATAAACCCAAAATCAATGAACAAAAGGTAAAAGAACCGGCCCCCCCAATAAAATTTATAAATAAACACAGGGTAGTAGCTCAACAACATTACTGCCATTATAGGGAACAATTTACATTTCAGGCTTAAAAAGAAGGGCCCAATTAGCAACACAAGTCAATCCCATTCCCACCAAAACCCCTTCTTTGCCACTTCATACATAGCATCACATTCACACCTAAAATGCATCATAACCCCCAAAAAGACAAGAACAAAAGGTACTAAGCATACCCACGTCCTGAATTACTTAATAACCCCCTAAAAACGTCAACTTGGAGAGAAAAAAAAAAAGGAAAAAACGAGGAGTCAAATCTATGAATGAAGGGGCCATAAAAGCGAGATCATGATCATTTCTTGAAGCTTCCGCGAATACCGGGTCGAGGCTTCGACGACGACGACGACGACGACGACGACGACGATTCGCCAACGTGGCTTGCGTGAAGGTTCACGAGCTTCGCTTCCTCAAAAGGGATCTTAGGGTGACGTGCATCGTGGTGAATCTGCATCGATTTCAGATCAGGCGCTGTCGTTTTGCAATGTGGACACTCAAATTTTGCGTGCCCACCTTTCTCCACGCCGGACCGGTCCGCCTGACCAGCTTTTCCCCCGCCTCTATTGGTGGTGGCGGCGTCAATCTTCGCCGCGATCTCCTTCGCCGTGTGCTTCTTCGGCTTCGCTTTTCCGGTCATGGTTTTTCCTTTTATCGCCAATCAACGTTTCTTCTTTTTGTTCTTCGTTATGCAATTTATAATCGGGTAAGTGAGAAATCGGAGCCAAGTTTCGATTTTGCTTTGGGAATGGGGAATGGGGAAGGGGAAGGTAAACCCTAGGGTTATGAAAACCCTAATTTCTTCGACCACCGAGAAGGGTTGCGCGCGTTTGGAGAAAGATCAATGTCGTTTATTAATAGGCGTAGAGCGATTGGGGCTTATCTGGAACCCAATAGTTTCGGTACTTTCGTCGTGTTTGAACTTGGACACGTGGTTATCTTGTATTGGTCGTGAACCAAAGTTTTCGCTTTGGCCAATGACGTTTCGACATGTCATTTGCGTCAACTTGTGCTTCACGCAGTTTATTAGATTCCTAACGAGTTATCATTGGTACAGTTCTTTATTTTTAAATTTTTTTTTTTTAACTTTAGAGCATTGGGTTAAATACAATAACTTTAGTGGTGGAATTAATCATAATTTAGGGTTGATTTTATTTAAGGTTTGAAATAATTAATTTTAAATTGCTAAAGATAATTCAGATATATAGTTAAATTCATTTAGATATTAAATTTTATATTAAAACAAATATAAACTTTGAGTTATCAATGGTGGATGAAGGTGTAAAGTTTTCAGTGAAATCATTTTGTATTTCCTGTCATCATCGGTCATTGTTATCTAAACTTTGAGTTATTGTTCTAATATGTAACAATTAGATATATAAGGTGTAATTAGAGAAAGGTAATTTATAACTAATTAACAATTAGTTATTATTTAAACTTAAATTATTATTTAAGAAATTAATGCTAAAAGTGAAAAGGTAATTTCAGACACTTGGACTCAAGTTTTTTGCAGAGCTAGCATGCAAAAAAGTCTATTAAAAGCTTAAAATGTATCTTATTTCAAACTTTTGTAAAAAGTGATTTTATGATTGTATATAAAAATATTTATTTTTAAACTATTGTTTTATGTAAAGGATAAAGATTAATTTTATTTATTTATAATTATAAAAAAGTTAAATAGTTATAACTTTATTTTCTTTTAAAAACTACTAAAAGTAATTTCTTAAAATTATCAGGATTTTTATTTCAAAATCTTAAACAATACATACTAAAAATCAAAGTATTTTTCACGAAAAAAGCTAAAACAAGTCAATAATTCATCACTATTAATAATTGATTAAATAAAATATGTTCTATATTTGGATTCATTAGGCAAAATATAATTGATTTTAATTAATATTTTAAAATTTTGAATATTTTCTTTATATTTTATGTAAAATATTTTGAAATAAAAAAACATTAATAACACATTTTTTTGAAATACACTATTTCACGTTTCTTTTGTTTATTACAATATATTTTCAGGTTCCCTAAATAACTTAAGGCTGTTTTATAGGTGCCACTTTGTGTATATATTACCTAATAGTAAGAAAAGGTGATATTATCACTTTTATTTTAAATAGTATACAGTTCATTAATATTTTATAGGAATTTATCTTGTGAATGAATGCCTTAAAAGTTATATAAAAAAACATTTAAATATCCTCTATCGAATATTTTAATTGTTAAAAATTAAGTAATAAATAATTTTATGTTTTATTTTTTTATTTTTATTGAATACATTTTAGTTTTCTTTTCTTATCCAATGCTGAAATATCTCAAATTTTATAATTTTGTATCTTTAAAAGCTAAAAAAATGTATTTAAGATTGTAAAACCTTAACACAATTCACGAAGTAATAATAATTACAATTTAGACGGTTTTTAAAATAATTAAATATAAATAATCTTACTTTTGTAATATACTTTTTATTATTGATTAAAAATTATTAAAAACTATAAAAATTATGTAATTTTTATTTTTTCTCATTTCTAAATTAATGTTTCTTTAGCATTTCTTATTAAGTATTTATCTTGTATATTTAGTTAGCAGATTAATAAATTTTTAAAAATTATTTTAAAAGATTCTATTGTTAATATTTTAATTATTTTTGGTGGATGAAACTTGAGAAGGAGGAACGAAAGAGACACTAGAACCCTCTTCCAACATTTTTTTGGTCCATGGGCTCTTCCATGTTTTGTTAACAACCTTTTGAGTTAATGTTTTTTTTACCAAAAATATGTTTTTTTGTCATGTTTTTTCTTTTTTAACTTCAACAATTAGATTTTTTAGTTTTTTTTATTTTTTTGGTTAAAAGTGGAGTTTGAGTTGCCAAAACCAACCTCTTCTATTTTGGTCTTGCTGGAAAAAGAGAGAGTTATCTTGGGCTTACAAAAATTTTGGGTTCTGTTTACTTTTCTAATAAATTTAAACAACTAAGAAACTTTCGACCATGAAAGAAAAATGAAAACTTTCTGCCCAGAAAAAATCAAGAAAAATTTCATATAATAAAAACTAATAAAAAAATTAGGAAAATCCAAAACTACTAATAAAAAAGAAAAAATAAAATAAAATAAATTATCTTGTTTGAGTTATACATTATCTCTTACTTTGTTCAATGGCATAAATTTTAATATTATTGCTTTTTTATTCATACTCGTGTTTTTTTTTCCTTTGATGATAAACGAAAAAAATATGTTTTTGTTTACATTTTAATTGTTTTATCATTTTTTAACTTCCCAGATACACTAAAATACTTACAACATTAATGATATGATTATGTTGTCCTTGGTATTATAAGAGTTATTAGGATTCTTGTATAATCATATTATTTTGAATCTTCTATCATATATATTTTAATAAATATATTTCTATTTAACATTTTGTTAGTGTACATGAAAAATATTTTTAAAATTATTCAATTTACAAAAATTATATCTAACCATCTTAAGATATGTGCTTTGAGGACGCAGTACTGTTACTTTTAAAATAATATAGTAGGATTGAGTTTCTTCCATTTGTTATGTATAAATCAGATCATAAAGTTGATATTATTATTGGAATTTTTTATTGTATTTTAAATATATATATTTTTATCAAAAAACATGTAGATGATTTGGTAAAAGTATTATTTTCTTTAATCATAAAACATGTGATAAATCGATAAGAGTGACAAGAGATGTTTTTAATTTAACATATGATATTAAATTTAAGTCTAATTAAATGCATATGTATAAAATATTAAAATAAAGAGTTTTATCGTCTAAAACATTTTTGTTTTACTCAAATATAATTATATTTATTAAAAACACTAATAATTAGATTAAATATTTTTCAAGGCTTAAAAAATTCAGAACTACTTTTTTTTTTTATCTATCCATTTGCTCCAAAATTGATTGGCATTATAAATGGGTAGCTTAAAAAAATAGGCATTTGAAAATGCATGCCTACGGGTTAAAATTTCGAAATTTAATTTGCTTTTAAAATTGGTAGCTTTATTTGGGGTGTTTACAAATCCATTTAATTCAATAATATATATATATATATATATATATATATAAAGTTATAATATTTATTTTTAGGAAAATATTTTATTATTTTCATATTTACTATAATATTTATTTTAAACTATTTTAAAAATATTATTGTCTATCCCGTTTTTATATAAATTTTAAGTTTTATAGAAAATAAGCTTTAATTATTTTAGTTATACAAGAAAAAAGTGCTAAGATTTGAAAAAAATTCAAAGATATGCTAATAAAAAAATTAAATATTGACCACTAATAAAAGGTGTTTGTGAATACAAAATTTAATTCCTTGTTTTAGACATTTTCACGTTTAGTTAAAGAATCATCACATAAATTGTCTAATTTAAGAGTATAATCAAAGTATTTCAATTTTAATTTAACTTTGAATTTGCCTAATACTACATGAGGAGAGTAGAATGTTATTGTTAACTAGATAGATTACTTCCATATAGCTAGTTTGTTCAATAATGAATTATTTTATAACTTTCACTTTATGTTAAATTCAAACCATTTAATATAGAAAAAGTTTTGTAGAATTATTATCATAATTTTTAACACAAAGGTAAACCATAAAAATCTCATGTCAAAATTTGGTTGAACACTTGCATTAACATCTAAAGCCAACACATCTAGAAAATGAAGAGATTATTGAATTAAACAACAAGTTTCATTTTCGGTCACAACTATCGTAAAAGAGTTTATTACAAAATTGACAGAATGAATGATTCAACAAACAAAATAAAAAAATTAATATATAGTAAAATAAATTATTTTCAGTGAAGTTTAAAATAAAATTAACAAAATAAGATTATTATATTGGTTTTAAACTGTTTTTAGTTAGATTAAATTAATTTTTTTAATTAAACTAAATCAAACTGCAGTGTGTTCTTATAATTAGGTCCCTAAAAGTCAATCTAATACAAACTCTGTAAACAACCATGCCAAGTAATCTGGTCACTTTAAATTATTTTTATGTAATGGAAGGTTAGGTAAGAATTGTCACATATGATATTGGCTTACAATAACATCTAAACGAAAATCATTCAAAAATTGATTTTTATTTTTTTATTCCAATGCTCCAACTCCAAACCCCTTTAATGATCATTATAATTATATTAAATTGTTTGACAAACTATATTAATTATTTTGACCAATAAAATTTTCAATAATTATCCTTCAAAGGTTATTATATTACTTCATTAGTATTTTTTAGGATAAAAACATAACAAGAAACTATTTATTAAATAACATGGTTAAAAGAATGCACGTGGTAATTTATTTTTTTTATAGTAAATATGGTATTTATTCAGATTATGAATAAAAAACTATAATTACTAGTTGATTAAATTCTACAACATCAAGGACAAGAATAAAAACAATGTTAGAAGTTTGAATTATTGATTAGTCCAATTTCATCTGCCAACTTACATTATTTTTTTTCACTCTCTTAACTTTTACATCAATTTTATATTCTTGATTTCTCTATTTTTCCACTCCTTTTTCTTTTGCATCACTTTACCCATCACATTTATTATACCTATGTGATTATATTTGCAAAATAGATGGTAAGAACAACCAATCATATAATTGTTATTAATTTTTATAAGACTCTTTTAAAGTTTTTAATCATTTTTAATATAAAGTACTTTACAAAGTTTTCTAAAAAATATTAATTCATTTCGTATTTTCCCATCATAAATATAATTATTATTTTTTAATTTCTCAACAATTAACATAACAATATAATATAACTTTAAACACGAGTGAACTTAGTAACAAACA